CCCCCCCCCCCACCCCACCCCCAATCTTTCTATATGTGTTTTAACCTTTCACTTAAGAGGAAAACCATTCCTTAACCAAAATTATTTCCAGAATTATACAGGACATCTAAACTGCATTAGCATCAGTCTTCCAGTTTCTGAGAAAGAAAATTCAGTTTTCAATGAACAGGAGAGTGTTTGCAAGCACGTGTGTACAAATGAATCAGCCAGAGGGAGTCTCTATGAATTTCAGCTTGGGAGAAGCTGTCTCTGAACCAAGCTGAACACCTACCCACTGCTCATCTCTGCCTCTCCATGCAGAAACAAGTGGGACAAGCCTGTGAACTTTCCCCCAGTTAAACAGAGCTCACATAGCTCATCTGTACAGCTGCCATGAGGCATCCACAGTTATTTTAGGTAACACTGGAAGGATACATACAGAATATAAGAATGAAGGCAAATGAAAATGCCTGTTCTTTAAGCTGCCTGAGAACACTCTTTGGGCCTTCTGTTAGGGGCCGTGTGATCCATATTCCTCAGCTGGTTTGTCAGAGAGAGGTTGCTCCTCTCTCTCATATATTTGCATCCCGGGCTGCATGGTTTATAGAAAATGACCTTCCCAAATGGTGAAGGACAAGCTTGCTCCACTGACAAGGGCTTGAACACAATGTTGGGATCTGAAACAGGCAATAACTACACGCAGAAGATCACTTGGGAAATACCCTGAAGCAGACTAAGCAAGAATTGCAGCTTCAAGGATAGGGACAATGAATGTAAAAAACAACATGGCTTTCAAAACCATAAAGATAGTGAAACAGATTAACCCCCTCCCACCCTGATGCTGCCCATGGGCTTCTTTCTGGGCTACCCAGAAGACCTTAGAAGGACGTCTTTGCTAAGCACACTACTGCTGCTCCCTTAAAATGTTGTGCTGACACAGTAACTACCCAAAAACCTGTGAGAAGCAGGACTTACTTCCTCAAAGGAATAAATAGCTGCTAACTATTATACATCCAGCAAGCTCACACCTCAGGTTTTTTAAGCGTAGATGAAACAGTCATTAAAAATATCTATCTCAAGAGGCCTCTGCATATTCAAAGGTCTGAAAAGTACCAAAGCTGGTGCTGTGGGGAAAGTCCTATATCCAGGCTTGGAGCAAACACTCAGAACTGACCCCTCATATACATGAAATGTATGCTATATCTATCATCATTTTTCACTCTTCATTTAATCATCCTTCGGTTGATACGAGCGAGCAATTCAATTTAACCTGAAACAATTCCTAATCCACTGACTGAAACTCATTTTTTCAAAAAGAGTTGAAAACTACTAACAGACATAAGGTGTTAAGTCCTATAAGTTTTTTTAACAAAAGCGAGGATGCTTTAATTGATTTATGCTTACCAAAACCAGGTGTGTTCAATACAGTCACTGCAGAATTAGACCTTGGACTCTAAGTATTCAGGTGAGAGACTGCAATTTAGACTAGTAGTTTTCATTTAACTATCCAAAATGTATTAACAATAATTTATGGAATGTTAAGTTTCATTAAATGTTAACACCTGCAAAAAAAAGACCCTTCACTCTTTTAAGGATGACCTCGTGTTCCCTGCAGCAAAGCAGGCCTTGACACTCGTTTGCCACCACTCTTCCTGCCCCCTGATTCCTGACGCTCAGTTTCCCCCAAATTTTGCCAACAATAGCCCATTACAAGGCTTTGCTGTGGACTAGCTCAGGGACCTGACCAAGCTAACAGAACTTGTTCTCCTCCCTTTTGACCAGGTTGTTGGCTTTCCACGTTATTTGCTGAATCACATACACCCTACTGCCTTACAAACAGTCCGGGGGCAAGAATGGAACTTTGCCCTTAAAAGCTTCCTGTCGCAATAACATTTCTCTCGTTCTTTCACCGAGGCTGCTCACTGCTGCCCACTCCGTCACAACAGCACCACGGGGGCAAAGCAGCGGTATAGCTGCAAACTAACCCAGAGTCGGCAGAAAATGAGGGGCTAATTTTCATTTCGATCAGTTCTGTGACGGAGTTCACCTTCTGGCTGCTCAGTCAAACATGATTCCAGAGTAAGAGAGAAGGCTGGACTGAACCAGCGAGAGCAGGCAGCGAAGCACAACCTTTCCTAGCAGCGATGTCATGCTGAATTAAACTGACCACAGAGCCACTCCCCTAAGGGTGTTATTACTCTGCAGACTACTTAATTTTGCTTGATTGGAGAGACATCTACAAATGCTACTCCCTCCACAAAACTTAGGGAGGGGTGTCTTAAGTCCTGAGTGAGAAAGGACTCTGTAGCCTTTGAAAGCTCTAAGTCTCCATGAATTAGTACTGTCCCACACTACCAGGGCAAGACTTGCAGAGTCTCTGCAATTTTCCAAGGTGTTAAACACCAGATAAGAGAGGTAAGAGCAGATTACTACCAAATTCATAGGGATCCGGAAAGTTTTGGGGCTAGACAATGAAAGTCACTCAGTCCTTATCAAACACTCAAACCATCTGTTAAACTGGTTTTGTGCATCTGCAATTATAGGCTTGAAACATACTCTAACCCTCCAACATGCCTGATATACAGCTGGTATGAAAATATTTGTTCGTCAGATCCTGTTTTGAAGGCCTAAAAAACAATCATTAACCTCAAAAAAAATTTCAAGGAGCAAGAACAGTGCATGAAAAATACTGTGGGAAGAGATGAAAGTTTCTGAAGCAGGCAAAGCTGCTCTCTGCATTATCCAGCTCAGCAAAGAAAATACAGAATTATGGTAACACTGACTAGAAGACATGCTTCTGGCACTGAAACCTCAAAGCACGACTTACATGTGTGTTATTATTTAGGTACACTCTGTTAAGTAGCAGAGCACTGTCAGATAAAGATCCCTATGTCAATAAATTTCCGTTTTATTCTTAAACAACATCAGGTATTAAAGGGTGTATTGACCTCATTTTTAAGAGACACAAAATTTAAACCTCCTGAAGTACTTCCTTACACAAAACACTTGCCGGAACTGCACAGTTTGTCCTGTGCTGCTGGGGCTAACACAAACTTACAGTCACTTCGAGTGTCACTTCTAGTCACCGCACATACCCACGGCTAGTTTCTGGCCGTCCATACGCACCTTCTGCTATACATTTGTTTGCACCGTAACTGGCTTAAGCACGGCTGAAAAGTCAGACTCTACATTCAGTTTCATAGAACAGTGCTGGGAACAGAGAAGCCTGCGACCGACACCGCCTGCCCCTTCTCCACCCTCCGCACCTTCACGCAGATCAAGCGGGTTGGTTTGTTTTTTTTTTTTTTGAAAAGCCGCGGGGTTTTGTTTGCAGCTGTTTATCGCGCGGATGCTGACAACAGGGAGGAAAAACTCCCCGGGAGAAAGAGGAACGGCTTCAGCGGCTCCGCTGTGCGCTTTCAGGAGCTGCGGCCGGGGCAGGGCCCGCTCCCAGCCGGGACAAGGGCGGCAGGGCCGCGCACCTTCCCCCCAGACCCGGCCCAGCCTCCCC